TTCTTTTTTTTTTCCAGAAATTATTTGATTTGACTTTTTCTTTATATATATATATTTTTTTTTACATTCATAATCTCAGTTACTTTGTTCTGTTTTCTTTTTCAATTTTCTTTTTTCCCTTTTCTTTCTTCTTTCTAAACCACATTCATAATCTCACAGTTACCTTAATGAACTGCCATAACCTGTCTGGTCTGAGAATTATTTCTCCTTTGCACTGTGATTGTCACTTCATTTGTCACCTGTTGGCCGAGTGTTAGCGCATGCGCGTGTTTGTTTGTAAGCGTGCATGGGTGTGATTGTCACTGATTGACAGCAGGGAAACTGGCCAGGTGTATGAACTTAGGAGAAGTGAAAGTAGGTCACACACTGTTAGTAAACACATCCACTCACAGAGTTTACAGTTAGCAGTCACAACCGCGACAATCTGCATTTTCTAAAAAACGCTGAACATTTGTTTTACTTTTTTTAGTTCAACAGTGACTGACCTGGTGGTCTGTTTTTATTTCTTTTTTTTTTCTACACACACGCACACACTTTCATAGAAAGGCCACGGATTTCATGTTCCTCCCTGTTTCCACGGCTACACTATCACAAAGGACTCTAGTTGGCTGTGGAAAGAGAGCAAGGGATGGAGAGAAAGACAGTGACCAGCCCCTTTCTAAACACACGGCAGCTGGGCCGAACTGTCATTCTGCACCCTGGCCTGCTTATACACACACACACACACACACACACTCTTGCTGCCCCTCCTCTGGTTTTATAGCGCTTTGTGTTTTTCTGATTATTCCCTTGGCATCTATAGAGGGAGCCCAACTAACCTGTTTGAATGAGTTTTATCGTTTTTGTCACTACTAACACACAAGTACTCACACACTCCCATTGGTTTCCTCCACTTCCAGCCGTCAACATGCCCAGAGGTGCGTTCAATCTCCCCTCCTAATGAAGCATGAGGCCGAAAGAGGAGTTTCTCCAGGCAGGGGCCGAAAAGAAGGGATGAATGGCTGACAGAGGGGGGCAGTGAAGGAGTGGAGAGGGGGTTGAGCAGGGGCCGTCTTTGATACAGCGCTGGCCCGGGCGGGGGGTAGTGTGTTTTTTAGCCAGGAGATTCACCATTCACTCTCCTCTGTCAGTCGCTCGTTTGAAGCGCCTTCACAAAGAGGAGTTTGTGGGCCGGGGGCCAAAAGGGGTTTTGTCATTCACAGAGTCCCTCTCCTCCTCCTCTTTAACCTCTCGCTCATTCTTTCACTCTTTTGAAATGAGAAATGCTTTAGCGGCCAAGAACGCAGCCAATTAATGTTCAACCAACAGGCTGAGTTGCTTCAAAACTACACTTAAAAATTATTTTGTGAAGGTGTAAAAGATAATTGGAGTACACTTTATAAAGGAAATATTATTTCAGTCTTTCTTCTTCAAATACCATATTCAATTCAGTGTGTTGCTTCTTGCCATTTCTTTGTAATTTCTTGTGAAATTTACTAGCAATTTCTGAGTGAAAATTCTTTCAAAAGCTTTTTTTTTTTTTTCACATCACTCCCTCTCAGATTTGATCTAAACCTTTGGAAAGGTTAACTACAATCCTCAGAATTAGCTCGTTTGCAGTAGCATTTGGATTGTGTTAGACGAGCGGCAGATTTGAAGTTTTTCATGGAGTTTTTCTTTCTCCGTTTCTGCCTGCTGGAGTTCAGGAATTCTGTAGCCTATCACACTCCACTTCCCAACTGTTGGATAAACACGATGGCCTTGAGAGCGTGTGTGTGCCGTTTTGGAGGCGTGACACTTCCATGATCCAAACATCAAAGTGTATCCGTGGAAACTGTGAGGTAGTCGGTAATGCCGCTTGCATGGCATGACTTGTTTTTATTCCGTGCCTTTTTTGTGTGTGCTTGCGTGTAGGCGAAAATAAAGTCATTTGGGATGCGTCCTACACATCTGGTGTTAGAGAATATATCGTACTGCGGTGGCCCATGTTGTAAAAACACTATTTTTGAGATGCTTCAGCCTCTAAAAAGACTTTGACAGCTCTCTGGCAACTGACTTCCTCTTCACTTTGTGGAGTCCAGACAACCCGTTGACCTCACTGGCATGCCTTTGTTTGGACGGGGCGTCTGTGTGTTTCTGTTAGCAGACGTTTTTTATTAGAAGGTTAAATAAATATATCTACTGTAGGAGCTAAAAGTGCATTTTTTGTTATATTAATTATATTCACAATACTGTTTGGGTATGGTTGTCAGTATGGTTTTTTTTTTCTGAAAGAAATTAACACTTTTATTCAGGAAGGACACATTAAATTGATCAAAAGTGAAAGTAAAGACATTTATAATGTTACAAAAGATTTCTATTTCAGACAAATGCTGAAAAAAACTTTCAATTTATGAAAGTTACATTTTCTGGAAAAATATTAAGCAGCACAACTGTTTTCAACAATAATAATTAGAAATTTTTCTTGACCAGCAAATCAGCATATTAGAATGATTTCTGAATGATCATGTGACACTGAAGACGAGTAAATTCAGCTTTTCCATCAAAGGAATAAATTACATTTTAAAATATATTAAAATGGAATTGAGTTGTTTTAAATTTTAATAATATTTCACATATTAGAAAACCAGACCTAACTCACACACCAAACTAATACAAAAACCAATAATATTCAGATACAACACAATTCAACCCAAGTATAAAAAGAACAAAATATTAAAGCTCACCGGCTGCTTCTTCAGTTTGTTGTGCTTAACTCTGCACAAAAGGAATCGTTCCTTTGTTCAAGCCACTGCTACTCTACCTGGAGTCTGTTCTGCCCTTCTAATTAATAGATTAGCTTGATTGGTGTTCTCTCACTGGTGAATTCTAGTGCACTCTGGCTAATGCACTCTAGTTACGAGGGGCAGAGCAAGAGCAACCAACAGTTTGCCACAACACTATTTTTACTGTTTTTTGTATTTATATTTAAACATATATGGGGAAAACATTTATATTTGACCCTGAGATGCTCTTAAAGTAGTGTGTGATAAGATTAAAAATTGTTCCAGCTTGGAAAAATCACATCTGACTGTAGTTTAAAGGGCTCCAGGTGGGTGGATGGTTTGGACTATTTGACCTGTGGTTTGCCGTTTGTCAGCGAGAGTGAGAGAGAGAGGAAAGGCTTTAGAAATAAACCGCAGGACTGGGTGGGTCAGAGAACACACACATACACGCTTGACACATGACACAGGCTCATACACACAGGTGAGAACAAGCACACACAGTGCCCGGCTCGGGTGCCGTAATAGTTTAAAAAGAAAGCCTGGCCTACTTTCCACATGCACCGTGACCCAGTTTACATAGATTCAGATGCACGGAGTGGAGTCACAAACCTGTTCCACATCCCTTCTGTGTGTGAGAGAGCTGTTAAAAGACAGCGCATGATCTTCTTACAGTGCTGTAATCTAAAACAGACGCACTTTGGCACACACACTCTCGTACGCTCAGATGTCATAAAGCAAAAGAGAGATCTTCCGATCTAATCCGTTCCCTTCATGTATTCAGGAGTAATGTGTGTGTTTGTGTGTGTGCCTGGGCTTGCACTAACCTGCTCCTGCCAAAAGCAGGAAATGAGGGAGCTGTAAGAAAATGGACTGCCACTGTTTAGTCTCTGAGCACGCACACACGCACGCACACATACACAGTGTTTAGTCTTCTCCAGCAGCTGTGCTATTCTAAGCAACGCAGGCAGGAAGAACAGAGAGAGAAGAAATAGCTGGATGATTTTGGGACAGTAATGCCAAACTCCTGTTGTAGTTTTACTGTGCAATACTTCACAGAAATCTACTCTAAACATGCTCTACTATACTCTGACATAACAGTGCCTACCTAACACTCCTCTACTTGCTTCTACTCAACTCAATTCTATTCCATGATATTGTTCTTTATTTGTTTCTATAGTAAACTTCTTAACTATTCTACTCTACGCAACTCTATTCTATTATATTCTAGTTACTTATATTCTGTTCTGTTCTATTCTGCTTTATTCAAACTGTTTCTTCTCCATTTGTTTTATTCTACTCTAATCGAACATATTCTTTTCCAGTCTACTGTACTCAACTTTTATATTTTCTTCTACCCTTTTCTATTCAGTTTAAGTTTACTCTAGTCTCTAGTAAACTATTCTTGTTTACTGAACTTTATTCTGTTCTTTTTTATTGAATTATGTTATACTCTGATTCTATGCTATTATATACCAGTCTGTTCTACTCTACTGAAATGTAGGCTATATTATCATAATCTGTTTCTCCCATTTTCTATTCAACTCAATTCCATTTTAGGTGACTTTATTCTATTCTACTATATGTGGTCCTAAAACACTGTTAAGATGTTTATTAATTAGATAATAGACAATAATATCTTTTTGTTCACTGAATTCTACTCTATTCAATTCTTTTATTATTACGTTTTATATTATATCCACTCTATTTTGCTCTACTGAACTCTACTTTATTCTGTTCTACTGTGTTATATAATATTCTAGTACTTTCATCTCTACTCAGCATTATTCTACTGTATTTTACTTAACTATATTCTGTTTTGCGTTATTGAATTATGTTCTGTCTCTAACTCTATACTATTATATGCCAGCTTTAAATTATTCTGCTTTATTTGTACCATTTTCTACTCTACTAAACTCCATAAATTTGTTTTATTTAATTTACTTTATTCTTCTCTTCTCAACTTTATTCTATTCTGTTCTACTCTGTGAAATTCTGCTGTACTCAACTATACCATATTCTCTTCTACTCAACATTGTTCTACTCTTTTCTGCTCTATGCAACTTTTGCAACCACTCAAGTCCAATGTACTCTACTGTATTTTTCTCAACTCTGTTCTAACCTGTTAAATCTACTGTATACTGTGTTTCTCTTTTGAATATTAATATTATTTTTCCATTAATTTGTCAGTTGATAAATATGCTAATTAATTGTGCAAACTTTCACTTACTCCTACTCCACAGTATCATCATGTATAACCACCTACAAGAAAACTCCGCCCCCAGTCCCGCCCAGGTCAACACCCACCAGACCATACATCTCTATAACAGCCCAGAGCAGCACAGAATCAGCACAAGATGCCTACAATGAGCTCACAGGTGCTGGTCCTGCTAACCGGGCCTTAGCAGCGGTCCAGTCGGGCCTTAGCAACTCCACAGAGAGCATCGATAGCATGAAGGCCCTGACAGCAGCCATCGAGGCAGCGAACGCTCAAGTCCACGGCCCAGCCAGCCAGCATGTGACCAACAGCACCATCACCATCACTACAGCCACCGCCACCACTAGCGTAACACACATCTCACAGGAAGCTAAGAGAGATGCCCTGAGGAAGTGTCTGTCCATAGGGATACAGGTTGGCCACACACACTCACACATGCACATCAGTGTTGCCTATAGGGTTACAGATTGTATAAGCAATACCAAACTTACAATGAAAACAAGAAACAGAGAATTATATGTGAACTTCACTTCAGTCAATTTACAAGAAAAGAAGTAAACAACAGACATTCATCTACTCATATATGTGGAAAAATAGACTGTCTCAAAACCTTCAGAACAACATACTAGTATACTACTCTTACCATTTCTGCCATAGAAATATATTGCAAAAATAGTAAGATTAGAATGCCAGAATGCTATTCCAAATTCAGCAGGACATTTTTTATAGTATATAGGCCTACTGTGATTATCGAGTATGCTCTAAGATAGTGTACACTATGTCCAAAAATGCATGTAAGTTTTGAGACACAGCCATTATCAACAGTATATTCTCTGATTATTAAGCAGGCATATATGTAGTATGCACTATGATGCCCAAATATGTTATCTAGGTAGACAGCATAGGTTTTAGGACACAGTCTTTATCTGTAGTACGTTCTCTGATTTTTGAGTGTGCTTCAATACATTACATGCTATGATGCCCAGAAATGTTTCTAAGCAGTCAGCACATTGAGTTTTGAGACACAGCCATTAACAACAACTATAAAACATCTATATAATATACACTGTGATGCTGTCTAGATAGCATACTAGGTTTTACTAGGTAGCATACTAGGTTTTTAGGGGCACAGCCCCTAACATTATCTGCAGTATATTCTCTTGATTATTAAGTATGCATCAACGTAGTGTACAATTTGCACATTTTATATATACATCATTTATTACTAAAATATTCACTACATATTTACAAACAAATTAGATAGGCCAAGACAAACAAATTTGCAGCAACAAATCTGACAACAATAATTCAAAATTTACTTCTGACACACAGAATCCATACTGAATGTGTGTGTGTCTGTGTTTAGGTGGATGGTCCTGAGGAAACCAATCAATCAGAAGTGCACTGCAAGTTTCAGTCCATCGGCATTCAAGTTGAGGAGGAGAGATGGTAAGTTTATCTACACCCACTCACTCTCTCTCTCACACACACACACACACCCTTGCAGCATATTCCATTACATCTCCATGCTTTAACTCCCAACATGTGCTCATTCAAATAAGATAAAGTCACTCAAAACATTACAGATGTGAGGATAGTGACTATGAAAGTTTCTGAAGAATGGAAGGTGTAATAGAAGAGAGAAAAGAAAGTGAATGAGAGAGAGAGTTGTCAATTCTCAACCCTCTTATTCTCTATTTCACACACACAGCTGTCCCTATCATGGTGGTTTGGACACTGGGGCCTCCTGAAAGGGTAAAGAAGTGGGAGGCAGAGAGACAGCTGCTCTGTGTGTGTATGCGGGTGTGTCTGTGTGTGCGTGCATGGCCATCTGTTGCTGCGCCCATTATGAAGCAGGCAGGCTGCTGGGTCACAGACATGGTCAAGTATCGACCCACTGTCTCACTTCTCTCTCTCTCTCTTGCTTTCTTTTGCTTTCTCTGATTCGCACACCCTCAAATGTCACTGTTTTAGCACCCTGTGAGAGGGAGGGACATAATGACAGGAGGGAGGTAGAGGCCGCTAGAAATCCAGTCTCTGTGTGTTTCCCTAAAATCACCATCTCATAGCCAAAGTGCGGCTCGAGAGTACAGATCAAATGCTAGAACAAATATATGTTACACTCACACACGCATACTGTCTATAAACAATTTTTACAGAAGGTCGGTTATTAGAGTCAGTTGCCCTGTTCCAAAACCTAGTGAACTGTCTGAAAGCAACATTTTAAAACATGCTTCCAACACTGGTACCTCACAGACTCCTCCTTTCAGCCAGATTTATAGACAATATCGCATATATCCTTCATAACCAACCATAATGCATTACTTATTGAAAAAAAAAATGTTTAAATGGTGTTGTTTTGAATGTATTACATTCAGTACAAAAAAAGTATAAAAAATATTTTCATTATACTATAATTTTATTTTAATTGCTTATTAAAATATACTTGCGTATGTTATGTAGTTTTTGCTAATTAGAGTATTGCACTGTTAGATTGGCAACATACTAACATCAGAATATTGGTTATAAATATATTTCATTAAATACTGAAATGTTTAAAAATTTGTTTGTTTAAAATAGACTAGTTCACCCAATATTTATGTATGCTATGCATTTGCTTTATAGTGTTGTGTGATTAGCTTAGCAATATGCTAGTGTTGAAACATTATAAATATATTTCATTCAATACTGAAATGTATATAACATATACTATTTTACCCAATATTTATGTATGCTATGTATTTTTTGGCTTATTAGACTTTGTGTCATTAGCTTAGCAATATGTTAATATCAGAAATGATT